TTTCCAGGCTGAGCTAAATGACCAGTTTTCTTAGTTCATGGCAAGTACCAAAATGTCTGAGTCACCAGGCCAGTCAGTGCGGTACCTGGTCAGAAAGTGCTGGCGTTTGTCCGCAGTTTGTGTAAATACATGAGATGTTCGGGTTTGATATCTCTTGCTTCCAGGCAGAATATCAGCTACATAGAAACTGTCTTACTTGCACCATGTGTCTAGGTGTAGCTGCATTGAGAGGGGTAAACATAAAAACTTGTGTTCTCTGTGGGGTCTCAGCTACTGTGAAGAAATCCCCGTGGAAGAGAATGAAGTCAACGACAGCTCCTCAAAAAGCAGTATGGAGGCCAAGCAGGAAGCCAGCCCTCAGCTGCCAAAGAAATCTGTCACTGCCAGCACGTTGACATCTACAGGAAGCAGTGAAGCACCTGCCTCGGTACGTGTTCCTTCTCTGGTGCTCCATGGGAGCAGTAATCCCTGTCTCTGGCACTCTCTAGATGTGCAGGGTAACTGCTTACCTTGCGACTGCTCTGTTGCTGCAGCTGACTGCAGTGCTCGAGTCACAGCATTTACCTGAGATAAAACGAGCACAACGTGCCTGTCCGAAAAGCCCGTAGACTGAGACAGTCAGCAGCAAGGGTGTCGTCTCATCTGTAGTTTTAGTTTCCGGGTTTAATTTTCTGTTTGTGCCCTCATTATGCTCTACCCTTGCTGCAGTTTGATGGTGTGCTACCAGAAGAGGAGGAGGCAGTGGTGGAGAGTCCTGTGGAGAAAGACCTGGCCATTGCAAATATCATGGGAGAGAAGATCGAGATCATTGCCCCTGTGAACTCCCCTTCCTTGGACTTCAATGACAATGAAGACATTCCCACTGAGCTCAGTGACTCGTCAGAGACCCATGATGAAGGTATGTGGGAAGCTACCTTGTCAGCGTTATGTTCAGCCTTCCACTGCCCGTTCCAGGGAGGGACCAGGGCAGCAGTTACAGAACTGCTTACCCCTGCTGATGTTATAACTCTTGCCTTGGGATCAGTGGAGGAAAAGGACAGAAGAACCCCCTTTGGGTCCCTTTTTCACTGGAGTTAGAGTAAAACCAGCTAAAGTCCTGGTACTCCAAAAGCACAGGCTTATGGTTGGGCTTTGCCTCTTTCCTCACAGGGGAAGTCCAGGCCTTCTATGAGGATCTGAATGGCCGTCAGTACGTGAATGAGGTGTTCAACTTCAGTGTGGACAAACTATACGACCTGCTCTTCACGGACTCCCAGTTCCAGAGGGACTTCATGGAGCAGCGCCGATTCTCTGGTGAGCTGCGGGTGCTTCTTGAGTACATTCGTGGAGGTGCAAATTCACCTGAAGATAAAGGGCTTGAGTAATAGTCTGAGAAAATCTTGGGATGGCTTTCATGTTTGCTCACAGTAATTGGAAGCAGTTAGAACCAGCCTTGTTTGGCTAGCTAAATTATATCCTCGAAAAGCCAGATCTAAGTTTGTAGAAGAGACGGGCTCTGTTTTTCCCCCTAACATCAGCTAAGGCCTGATGCTGTCTTAACTGACAGCTTAACAGCCACAGGGACAGACTATGCAGTTGATGACTTTACAAAGAGAATGTTCCTTCTCATACTGCTGTCTTCTGTTTCCCTATCGCTCCCGCTTTGCAAAAGGAGAGACAGCTCCAGCCTCTCTCTGTCCCCATATACTGACAGGGGGAAAGTACTTCCCAGAGTTTTTATTCCTTGGGCACTTCCAAATCTGAAGCCATGCTACGATGAGGCTCTTTCTGCAGGTGCTCTGCTGTCCCTCTGAGTAGGAGACTTGTGGACTCTGAAAGGTCAAGGAAAGCCACTGGAAAAAAAAATCTCTTTTTTCCCAGATATTATCTTTCATCCCTGGAAGAAGGAAGAAAATGGCAATCAGACCAGAGTGATCCTGTACACTATCACCCTCACCAACCCTCTGGCCCCCAAAACTGCCACCGTCACTGAGACGCAGGTATGTGAAAGGACAGCAGGGACATAATGCTTTGTAGAAACAGATCACATTTATTGTCGTATCTCGGGCATGCAGTGAAGTTGCCCATGTACCAAAGCCTCCTTCTAAACAGACTAGTAACAGCCTTGCACGCTGCCTTTTCTGCAGACAATGTACAAAGCCAGCCAAGAAAGCGAGTGCTACGTCATAGATGCAGAGGTGCTAACTCACGACGTTCCCTACCACGATTATTTCTACACCATTAACCGCTACACGTTGACTCGTGTCGCCAGAAACAAAAGCCGACTCAGGTATAGTTCCTGGGGGCCAGATGGCCTTGCTGACAAGCAGAAGTCACCCCAGGAACTGGGGTGGGAATTCTGCTGCTTGACCTGTTAGAAGGGGATAGAAGTTAGCCTTATTTCTTTGTCTGTTGGTGGCGAGGCAGCCATCCATTTTGGTGACCTTGAGCCAACAATAAAATTGCTTCAGAGCAGTTGCAGTTGGGCAAGAGACTGGATTTACAGACTTTTCTTGCTCCTTTTTTGAAGCAGTGGCTTGCGGAGCCAACTTGGCATGCACAGCAGACAAACTGCAGTGGGGTGTTATGTCCAGAGACCATCTCTGAGAAGCTTCTGGGGTTTGGTAGCAGGCAAAGCTGTGCATGTTTGTGTCTGAACTGGATAAGCAATTTGTCTCGCCTGCCGTTTGGCCCAAGGTCTTGGGAGTCCTGTGAGGGGTGGTCCCTGGAGGCCTCCCTGCTGCTTTGGAAGGACATGTCAGGCTGTGCTTGAGGCCCAGACTACAAAGGTCTGAGGCCATGCCAGGCCCCCCAGCACGGGATTATTCTGCATATTTACATGGACAAAGACCTGTGAATTGACATCACCTCCTGGAAGCAAAACTGAGAGCAACTTCCCTCCTTCTCACAGGGTTTCCACAGAGCTACGTTACAGGAAACAGCCTTGGGGGCTGGTGAAATCCTTCATCGAGAAGAATTTCTGGAGTGGCCTAGAAGATTATTTCCGTCATTTGGGTAAGACTGGTGCTGCGGTAGCATCCCTGAAAGCACGTGTGTGTTCCCTGCAGGCAGCAGGCAGCAAACACTGTTTGCCAGCCAGCCAGCCAGGCCCAGGTGCCGCTCCACCACACGGCTCTGCCATGTCACTGTGCCCCTCTCAAATGCTCCTCTTTGCTGCTGTCTTTGCAGAGAGCGAGCTGACCAAAACTGAGAGCACGTACTTGGCCGAGGTGCACAGACAATCCCCCAAAGAGAAGGTGAGCAAGCAATCGACTGTGCGCCGGAGGAAACGGGCCCATGCCCACCTGCGGGTGCCGCACCTGGAGGAGGTGCTGAGCCCCGTCACCACCCCCACGGATGAGGAGGTTGCACATCGCATCAAGCACGTGGCAGGTCAGAAACGTCGGGTGCTGCAGGGCTCGGGGTGGGGAACTGGCATCTCTGGGGACAAACTGGAGCCTTGCGGGAGGGAGGATGTGTGGGAGAGACGGGGCGCTCAGGGTTTCCCGGGGCTGTGGTTGCCTGTGTTTGCATGGGATGGAGGAGCAGGTGAGGAGTCCCCTCCCCACCCGACGGCCTTTCACAGCCTGCGTGCGTCCCCTCAGGTTCCACTCAGACGCGGCACATCCCCGAGGACAGCCCCAGCGGCTTCCACCTGCAGAGTGTCTCCAAGCTGCTCCTGGTTATCAGCTGCGTGTAAGTGATCCCTTCTGCTCGCTGCGCTGGCTGTCCCCGCTCTCCGCCGTTACGGGAGCCGAGCGGTGGGTATTTGCGGGCAGACAGACATGGGGCTGTCTTCTGAGGCTGTTGGTAGGAAGGTGCAAATGCTTTGAAAAGATCTCTAGAGACCTACCGAGCTACTTAAAGCTTAGAGTGGTCACTGTGCCCTTCATTAACGTTTCCAGAACACATCTGGCCAGCTGCCATCTGCCCCAGTTGGTTTATTAGGCGAGGCAAAGGTGCATGAACACGCAGGCCAACGTGCACTGTCCCATAGGGATCCTCTGGGCATGGCCCTAACAGCCACCACCACAGCAGTCACTCGGTTGTGACTCTTGCCCATGACTGCAGGCACATGAATACTGTCCTACCTTCTTGCCTCCCTTCCCACTGTTCCTTTCTTCCCTCTTCCCCCATATATCTCCGTACCTGCTATGAGCTTTCTCTGCTCAGCCCAGTTTTTCCCATTCTGTGTCAGTCTGTTTCTAACCTGCAGTTGCTCCGTCTTTTCTCTTCCCTGCTCCCATTAGGATCTGTTTCAGGTACTGTCTCTCTTTTTTTACCTCTTTATTCTCCTGTTTCCCTCCCTTTCTCTGCATTAACAGCAAACTCCCATCTAGCCTGTTTTGTCTGCTCCATCTGTCATCCTCGTCTGTCTCCTTATTCTCACATCTCTCCCAGAAGTTGGAAGTTTTGAGCTCGGATCACCTGGCCCTTAATCAGATAAAATTTCCACTCTTGTACAGGGTAGACAGGGGCCCCAGGAGCCTTGCTGAAACACCGGGTATTTTCCCAGGTGGAACTGGAGTTATGAAGTGCTCATAGTGAACTGATGTGTCTGTTTTATTTCCAGTCTGGTGTTGCTGGTGATTCTTAATATGATGCTGTTCTACAAACTCTGGATGTTGGAATACACCACCCAGACGCTCACAGCGTGGCAGGGCTTGCGGCTACAGGAAAGGTAATGTCATACCTTGGCCCTTCTGTCTGGTGCTTCTGGCACGCTCCCTGTTGCCTTGAAAGGGTTTTATAGACTGCCAGAGCCTAGGGCTCTCAAGCAGATGCTTTCCCTTCTGCATTCACAGGAAAGGTAAGATACCTAGATTAAGCTGAAGTTGTGGGGCTGTCAGCATTTCCAGCTAAATTTTATAATGCTGGAACAGTCAGAGCAGCAGACAGTGAGTTAAAGGCAACTTCTCCTTCTTCGCTGTCTCCCGTGTAGTTCAGGACACAGGTTCTTAAAAGAAATGTTCTGCAACCCTGGGCCAGTGGTGTCACCTCCCTCCTTTGCTGGCTATACTCTGTATTTATGAAAAGCATGTGTATCCAAATGAGGACTGGAGCTTGTGACACCCAGTTAACTGTTTGCAGTTAATTACTGCAGTTATTGCAAATGGCAATAGCAAGAGTGTGTGTGAGGAGAGCGAGCACTAGGTGGGGACAGTGAGACCCATAACCACCCTGCATTTGCGGAGCTGGAGCTGGTGAGCAGTGAAAAGCCATGAGCAGATACCTGCCTTTCATCATAACTGGTGGCATAACTCCCTGCTGGCTTGTGGAGTGCCTGCTTCCTGATGTGTGCAGGCCTCGAGGCAGCAGGCAGGAGCTTACTCTTGGCATTGGTCTTTATTATAGACTTTCCCATCTTGTCCAGGGGCAAGGAGAGGTTTGCCAGCTGTGTTTCCCAGGACGCCTTGCAGAGCCTTTTCTGGAGGTGGCACTTGCACTGGTGGCTTAGTACAAACATACTCAAGGGACAGCAGTTCCCTGTTATGAGTCCCCCTGGCATTTTGAGTGCTTTCTGGGCATAGAATGCTCAATAATCCTGCTCTCCTGCTCTGAGGAGCAAGTCTTAGCAGTTGAGGTGGGGAAACAGATCCCCTTTTTAAAGTGTTTTTGTCCCCATTATGCCCAACAGTATTTTTATGTGGTCACATAAATGAA